GAGGCTGAGGCAGGAGTATTGCTGTTTGTTGAAGGCCAGCCTTGCCTACATAGTAATTTCAAGGGCAGTGGTTGCTTGGGCATCACATATACTAAAATTGGAATAATAGAAGATTTGCAAGCCTCCTGCATACAGATGACACACAAATTCATGAAGTGTTCTTTATTAAAAAAAAAAAAAAAAGTTCAAGGACAGTAGCAAGAACTATACAGTAAAAGCCTCTCTCTCAAAATAAATAATATGCTTACTTGATTTTAACACATTATCGATTCCCTGGGACTTGTGTTCTCACTTCTCACAACAGCTTTATTTGTTTCTGGTACTAGAGACCAAACCCAGGGGCTTTCTGGGTTTGAGGCAGGATCTCTATAAATTGCACAAGTGGGACTTGAACTGTTGAATCCTCCTTGTTTCATCTTCTCACAGCTGGATTACAAGAGTGTGCCATGACGCCTAGCTCTCATCTTAGATTTTGCTATCATAGACTACACATGTTGTCCCTTAGTTGGAAGTTTCAGAAGCCTCTGTCTTGCCCACTGGGAATGAGTCATTCGTGTCCTAGCAGACAGACTGATAAGATACTCAATGCCAGGGATATCATTTGTCCAAAATTTGTGGTTTACAGATGCTTCATCTTGATATTAGATGTGAAATACTTGTTATGTGTCTCTGACTTCCTGTTTATGTGGAATCCAACAACAGCAGTTGCAATTTAGAAAAAAGCCTAGAGTACATAAAATCGGAGATTTAGTTTAGGGAGAAACCTCAGACCCTTTTTGTTGAGCTGTTGGGGGTGGCATGGCACTTACTAAACTCCTTGTGTTTGCTGTGAGCAGGATGGACAGTGTCACCTCGGACCCCTTAGCTGAGGGAAAAGAGAGTTGTTGTCTGTACAGTGCTGTAAAGACCCCACTCAATCCTTCTGCCTTTACTTCTGAGACTTCTGCTGGGCCTCTGGAAGCTTCTAGTCCCATCAGGAAGGAAAATTTTGTGTCCCGCCCCCAGAGCCTCTCTGTCACCATGTCCACAGGGCACCTCTCCCTGCGAAGTTAGGCTCTAGTTTTGCTGCTTGGGAAGCTCTGAGACACAGGAGGTGAGAGGGCTGAAAAATGAAGTCAGGTGGGGAACCTGGTGAGCATGGACTTTATTCATGGCTTGTTCATTTGACAGTTTTCTTTTTAATTTTTTTATCATTTATTTGTTTATTTGGTACAGGGTCTCCCTACACAGCTTAGACTCATAGTGATCCTCCTGTCTCAGCTTCCCCAGTGCTGGAATTACAGGCATGTGCCACAATGCCCAGGCTTGGTGGCCCTCTCAGGGTGTCTGGGGGCAGGGCCTGCACAGCATGGTGCGTGGGATCCAACCTCAGTCCCTGCACTTGCCTAAGCAGGTGCCCCAGCACTAGGATTACAGACATGCGCCACCATGCCCGGTTTCACAGCTTGGAGCACTGGGGATCAAATCCAGAACCCTGCACTTGCCACGGGCAAGCTTAGACCACTGAGCTATCTCCCTAGCCCCTTGACAGTTTTGTTGTATTGCACCACAGAAAGCGCTGAGAAAAGCCAGGTACAGCCTGAAAAATAAAGGAGTCAGTCTGAGGATCCACCCACTGTCCAAAGCTCTAGGTTAACACTGAAATTGACAAGTTAATGTTTTGGTTATTAGCTTGTTCGACTTCTTCTTATTGTTGTTTAATAGCCAAGTGGCCTGGCTCTCATGGTTTAATATAAATGCTGAAATACAGCAGGCACAGTGCCTGCCCTAGGTTTCCCTGACCTGGAATCCATGAAGGATTTTCTGGGTAGGCAGGCCAGCCTCCTGAAGTTTTGTCTAGGGCT